CAGATTGATGTGGCGCTGTCGCAAGACTCCACATACCAAGGGGAGCGGGCCTACCAGCACGGCGGAGTGACAGGGCTGTCCCAGTACTAGAAGGCAAGCTGATCCTTGCAGAAGGTCTTTACCAGTATCTGGACTTGATGGGAAATGTGGGAAATGTGTGGGAGGCTCTCAAGTCCTCAAGAGGCCAGCTTGTCCTTTGACCTGCCATTTTGGCTCCCTGTGCACCTGCTCATGGCAGTGGGGGGATGGGAGCTTCACGCACACCTCCCTGCGTCATAGTCCTCTCCTGAGAGAGTCCTAGAACTCAGCGAGGAAGGACAGGGTGTGGGAGTCCTGGCTCAGGTACACGGGGCACGTCTGCAGGAGCGCGTGCCTTGCAAGCCCTGTCGTATGGTTCCCCCGAGCGTGGTGTGACTGGCGCTGGGCGAGCACAGGCCTGGGCCCCTCTCCGTGCATGTGCTGGAGAAGTGGGGTGCTGCTGGTGCTGCTGGCAGAGAAGGCCCCTTAAGCTCTTGGCTTCGTTCTCTTTGGGTGGGGAGTCACTAGTCTGGGCACCCAGCTTCTGAGGTTCCATTTCACGGATGCGAAGTGGAGTGGGGGGAGGAGCCCCACACCTTCAGGCTCCCGGCTACACGGGCTCTGCCTTCTCTCATGGCCCCTTGCCTTCCTCACTCCCCACAGGTGGCGGCAGAAGAGCTAAGCTATGTGGCTTAGTCCATCAGCATCTTATTCTGGGTAATAAAAAATAAAAATAAATGGATACCTGTTTTCCACTGCTAAAACTGAAGCACCACTGTGAGCAACAGGAGAGGGAGAGGAGCACCCGAGGGAGAGAGGAGCCCGAGACAGAGCGAGCGCCCACTGCTGGCCCGCGGCGGCGAGGAGAAGGAGAAGGGAGAGCGGGAGGCGGGCGGCCACGGAGGACCGCCCGCCAGCGAGCCCTGCCAGCCCCGCTCGCCAAGGAGGCCCAGCGCTCGCCGCGTCCACACCTGGGTCTGCGACCAGGGCGGAGGGAGGAAGACCCTCATCTCAGAGTAGCCCTTTCCTCTGTTCTTTTCTTTCTGTTTCTCTTTTATTGAAAGGGGACTACGTTTTAGCAGGAAAAACTTCGCATTTCTGTGCCGAGCAGGCTCCTTGCCGGGGCGGCCGTGTCGGGAGAGCCCCGCGGAGGTGTGGGTTCTGTCCACGCCATCTCTGAAACTGCCCTGGCTACGCTGCCTGTGTTCTAAGAGGGTTTCATTTAAAGAAAACACGGTGTTTTGGGTTTTTCTGTTTGTTTTTTAAAGATTCTTTCAAAGGAGTACTGAAAAATATACTTTCCTGAGTTTGTCTCTCAAATCTTAGTGGTGGACCTGGAAGATGCAAGAAGCTTCCAGAAACGAAGTTTAAACAAGCCAACACATCTCAAGATTAGGATCAACACCTGTGACAGGATCGCGAAGAGGATTTTTGTTTTGAGTTTTAGCTTCCAGCGGCTTCTCCCTGCACGTCAGGGCGGTGAGAGAGCACCGTCTCGTCCCGGGCCAGGCAGCCCCAGTCTCCGCTGGACTCTGAGAAGCACAGCGCTTCCCACACGCGGCGGACTCTCGCCCCACCCACTCTGGGAGGGGCCCTGGGCAGGACTGGCTGTGAGGCCAGAGGGTGGGGAGGTGGCTATTCTCTGGCCAGTGGCTTCTTCCCTAGGGTCCTTCCTGAGGATTTGATGGAAGACGGCAGCCAAGAGGACCCATCCCCAGGGAGGCACCCACAGTCCCTGTGGCTGGTTAGACACGCCGAGTGCCCCACTGACCTTGTTCTCTACCCCACTCTCGAAGTTGGGAGCCCCTCTACCTGTGGGCACAGGTGTGATGGGGTGGGGTGATTTCTGCTTTTTTGGGGGAAAAGGAGTATGTTTCAGAAATAGGTTGGTTCTGTGCCGAAGGGGCTTGGACCACTTTGTCACATCAGCTAGTTGAGGGGGCTTCTGGCTGGCTGGGTCTGGGCCACAAGTCAAGAAGTTACCATAGCTGGGAGAGCCACCCCCAGCTCCTTGCGCACCACGGTGGGGTAGTACTGTCTCCCTGGCAACCACCTATTTGGGGACCATCCCCTACCTACCCCAGGCCCTGGTGACCCTGACTCCCCCCCCCCCAAGCTTCCCCGTCCCTGTGAGGCTAACACTGGCCCTGAACTCAAAGCCTCCGAATTCCAGCTTGTACTTGGGAGACGGGGACACACAGGCCACCTTCCTTCTGGCAAGGCCTCTTATTTATTACCATTGCTGTAGGGCTTTCAGTTTCCCCCTTCTTTTGATAGGCCATGTAGAGGCATAGAGTTTGGATAGGTTTCCGCTATGACCCCTTGTGCGACACACCCTGTGGGCAACACCTGCGCCCACCCACCCGCCCTGTTCTATTCCTTGGAATGCCTTGCCTCTGCTTTGTGCTGTTTGCTTTGTTCTCCACCTTCATAGCAACAGTTATTCTGAGTTTTCCAAATCGAGGAGCATCTGTACCAAGGCACTGTAACTTTTGATTTCTGGTCAATTTGTTTTAAGCTCTATTGTCACCAATAAATTCTTAATTAACAGCTCTTGTGTTCACACTGGGGCGGATAAACTGCAGGGAGATGGCAGAGCGCCTGGTCTGGGGACCTGGCTGGTTGGGAGCCTTGAAGTCACCTGGGTGGCAAAGCTGAGCGTGGCCTGATGTGCACAGCAGGGACCAGAGGGTGACCTCCGTGCAGTGGGCAACTCCTGGCTCTTGGGCGCGTTAGATGTCGGGCTGCCTAGAGATGGGGTTCTAGGTACCCAGCTCGAGGAGAGCTGGACAGGTGGCATCACTGTGGGACACTGCCCCACGCCCTGGCAGTGGGTGGTGACGGATGTGGCTGCTTCTTTTCCCACCCCCAGGTGACCAGACTGGAGACAGGGAAGCGGACCACGCAGTGTTTATTGTTGGGCCCCTGTCTGGCTCTGTCAGCGACAGCCACACTCATCCACCACCATATCCTCTTAGTGCCGCAGTACCACATTGTCGCTGTTGTCAAAGAAGAGCACAGAGATGGGCGACAGGCGTGCAGGCACGCAGCAGGGCAGGCCGGTGGCACCGGGGGCGGCCGCGTGCATGAGCGCCCGCAGCACGGCGTGGTTGAGTGGGGGCGCCCCCCCGGGTCCAGACAGCGCTGCGGGCAGCGAGCACTGGCCCTGGCAGTAGTTGGCCAGGAAGCCGCGCGGCGCAATGACCCATCGGTGCCAGCCCACCTCGCGGAAGCTCACGTAGAGCCGCCTCGTGCGACATGCGCCTCCAGGGTCGCCGCCCAGTGCGGGTTCGGCTTCGCGCCGCGGCCGGGCCAGTGGGTGGCACAGGCGCGGGTCAAGCGTCACCAGCAGCAGCGAGGCCTCGGCCAGGTGCGCGCAGGCGGCCGGGGTCCGGGGGCGCAGCGCCAGCGCCAGGCGGAGGCTGCCAGGCGCCGAGGAGTTGCGGGCCCAGGCGGCGCCCAGCAGCTCGGCGCGCACCGGCACTGTCAGGGTGGGCACTGCCTGGCGGAGCAGCACCGGCCCGGCCACCGCGTCATCGCCCTCGGCCGCCTGAGTTATGCTCAGCTCCCAGCCGGCAGGCTCCTCCGCTGCCGCAAAGCGCATCTCCAGACGGGCCCGGGTCGGCCGCTCGGCAGGTTCCACGGCTGACAAATCGAAGACGACGGTCCACTCAGGGCACTGCCCCGAAGCCCAGGCGGGCTCCGGGGGCCGGGTGGGCGCACCTGGGGGGGCAGGGAGGGGGCTCAGCTTGCGCTGGGCCCCAGCACCCTGCCCGGCCCGCCCTCGTGGGAGTCTCTGCGGGTGGGGGAAAGGTGAGCGACAGGGGAAGAGGGGCGCCATACTGTGCGCCTTCTAAAGGCGTCAAATGGTGTGAAGCGGCGCGGGGGGTGATGGAGTGGGGGAAGGGCATCGTTCGCAAGTAAGAGGCCCTGCCCAGCGCAGGCCGGCCTGCCCGCCAGCCACAGGCGGGGGAAGAGATGAACGGAGGCCTGGGGCCCGTGGGGAAGCGATGCTGGAGAGGTGGTATCTCCAGGAAAGGCATCAAATGGTGTGAAGCAGCGGGGGTGGGGGGAAAGTGGGGGCAGGGCTTCAGCTGCAAGCTGGGGGCCTTGCCGGGTGCAAGGAAGCCTGGCCTTGGGACAACTCCAACCGTCCCCACAGGTGTCCACGGGGAAGAACGGATGGAGTGCGGAGGTCCAGGTTGCTCGTGGGCTGGACGGGATGAGTGGGGACACTCGGAGGTGCTCTGGCCTCCCCCACGCGGCGCTGGAGGCTCGTGGCAGGGCGCTCAGAGGAAATCAGTCTCAGCCTCCCGGACACACGCCTCCAACGCAGGCCCCACTTACCGCGGTCTGAGATGTGGCGCACGATGTTTCCGGCGACCCCCAGTTCCTCCATGTGGCACGGTCTCAGGGTGGTCCCCTGGGGCGTCCGCCGCGGGCCCACCCTGGCCTCCTGGGGGTCCCGGTGGCGGAAGAGGCGCCACATGACGGGGGGTACTGGCCGGGGCGTGGGTGCGCCCCGGTGCGCGTCAGGCAGCCCGAGAGCCTGGAGCAGGGAGGCGGCGGGCCCCGGGGGCGCTGGGGCGCGGGCTGGGGGCGGCGACGGCAGCAGCAGGGTCAGGAGGAGGAAAAGGACACGGCGGCCAGGACGGCGGCAGGGCGATGGCATCTTCCTCGCTGGCAGCTGCCGGACGAGTGCTCAGGGGCCGCCGGACACCCCCGACCTGCAGCCTGGGGGCGGGGCCGAGGTCTCCGGAGGGGCCAGGACAGAGGTCTGGGGCTGGGCGGGGTCAGGGTCCTGGGGTACGTGGCCGCGGTTCTGAAGCCCGACTAGGGTAGACCCCGGGGGCGGGGTCTCGGGGGTGCCGGGGAGGGGTCCAGGGGGAGGTGACCGGCAATGGCCAGGGCCTCAGTGGGGTGGAGCTGGACGGAGCCAGAGTCCCGGGGCAGGGGCGTGGTCGGTCCCTGGGAGGGGCGTGGTCGGACGGGGCTGGGTCCTAAGGGGTGTGAAGGTGGTAAAGGAGTTCAGAAGCGCTTGTCTCTCACCAGGCCATTCCTCAGCGGCTTCCTGGAGGCCAGAACAGGGCCGCGGTTAGTCCGGGGCCCCATGCCCTGCATACTGCCCTGTCCCGACTGCCTTGCCCTCCACTTCCCTTTTTCCTGCCCGGCGGGGGCGCACCTGGGTCCTTCCTCCCTTCTCAAAGGGCCATAAGACTTTGCCTTTCACTAGTGGGTATAGCGCCCCTGCCCCCTCCACCCCCCCCCCCCCCATTAAACCCTCCTCTCTCCTCTCTCCTGAGCTATTCATGGCGCTGGAAAGTAAAAGCCCTCGCCTGACTTCCCCCCACCACTCGGCTCTGGATAAGCCCTTGCACTTTATATCTCTCCCCTTCCAGGGAGGCAAAACTGGCCAGAGCTCCCTGCCACTCCACCCAGCGAGGGCTCCTCCCTGGCTCTGGTGGCCCTGACTGGCTCACAGCCCAACAAGGGAAGTCTTCACAACCCCTGTGAGTCTCCATCCACGGCCCTCTGTCTACATCTGCCACAGTCCCTACTTTACTTCCATGTTCTTAGAACAAGTTATGCAGTATCTTAAAACTCTCGTTAATATGCTAAGTGTCCAGATTAAGAGTCCAGAGAAAGGCCCCTGATTTCTAAATAACATATAGTTTGCATATTTCGAACGGTCTACAGAGATGTCTTCTGCACTTCAATTTTCCAAAAACGCGACACTGAAATCACTCCCGTGTGCACCACCGCTCTCTGTAAATTCCATCTCCCCCGCCTGTATTAGTGGCAGGTCTCTGGGGTTCCCACTGGGAGGGGACCTGCGTGCTGGGGGCCTGCCCATGACCACCTTACCAGATTCAACAAGGGTTTCTGCCCCTGCTCCCTGGTGCCTCTGTCAGTGCCTGCTGGTGCTGAAACAGCATCTTACTGCGGCTTAATGGTCATGGTCCTGGCTATGCCTGTTCCCACTTAGGGCAGCCCTTCGTGCCTCTGCACATGGTCTGTCCGTCTCTGCAGACGTGCATTCCACCTTCTAGGTTCCGTACAGATGTATTAAGTTCCCCGAGCTGGTAATATATTCTCACAATCTAGACATCAGAAAGAATGGAAAACTCACAGTGTGCCCGAGCCGCTCCTGGGACTCGGCCCTGGGGTCTTGCTTCGGTGTGCTATTTCACACAAATCTTGCTGGTGTCTCACACAGATGCTAGCATACAGGGGCATTACACTACCATCCCCTGCATCTCCCTGCTTTGCAGAGCAATCTAGCTCAGAGACCCTTTCGTGAAAGGATCCACTTCACTGGAGATGGATGACCTCAGCCACTTCAGTCCATTCTTCCCTTGGGCCAGACACACTGGACTCCCTTCCTGGGAGCATGCATGCCATCCTCTACCCCCTTTCCCGTGGCTTGCACTCTCTCTCTCGCTCGCTCGCTCGCTCTCTGCCACCAGCAGGAGCCATTGATCCATGAAGTTATAGATGAGCCCTATGCGGGCCTCCCGTCGGCCTTTGCTCTTCTGGCTTTGCCTGTTGGCTCCCTCAACAGAGCAGAGGTGGGGCTCCCAGCTTCTGGACTGTTCTCATAGTTCAATTGCTAGACGACACAATCTCCCTTTTGGGTCTGGTTTCATTTCACAGCTTCTACTTCAGTCTCGGTATCTGATCCGTGGGGGGTTTGCCCCTCAGGCTGATTCAAGATCCCACGAAGGTTTGCTCTCTTCTCCAGATGGTTACCAAGTGTTCTGACAGCTCTTGCCTCCCAGTGATCTTTAGGCCTGGAGTCTATTCTATTTATGGACTCAGCTCTGTTCTGCCCTGTTTTAGTTTCCATATATTAAGTTTAATTCCTTCAAGGATCGGTACCCTGCCATGTGACTTTTTACAAGAACTTTCCCGATGATGCTGGTCTATTTTTCTGTACTAGCTTCCAAGCACCCCTTCCCCCATCAAAACCAGTGTCAGTATTTGGGGGGGGGGGCGTGTGGCTTCTCTATGATGTCGGATTTATGCTTTTCAGTCTCACTGTACCACCATGAGGAAAAAAGAATCAGAACAAGGGCGGAAGCTGGAGGGAGATGAGTGAGGGCAAGCAGCGTCTCGGGTGGATTCTAGATGTTTCCTCAGAGGTAAGAAGGAGTAGTAGTGAGGGAACTCCCTAGGGCTTGCCAAGGTTTTCACCGAGTTTCCATCAACTGCAATGGAAAAAAAATGTTCCGGAGACATGTTCGGGGTGGGGATGGGGGCTGGTTCCGGATATTTTCAAAGATACTAGGAATGTCAAGCAGACCTGGAGACAGAGATCGGTGCACAGAGGAACACTGTGAGCTGGGAGAGAAACTTGTAAGTTGAGGTGAATTGAATGAAAGGGGCCTGGGAGGGGAAGGCTGGCAGGGAAATGGTGGGTACCGTGGGGTGGGTGGGCAGACGGGGCGTGGGGTGAGGGCCCTTGATGGCTGCTGACCCCGGCAGAGCCTGAGGCAATGATGGAGGCTTCAGACGGAGGGGCTGGGTTGTGACCAGGGCACGGGGCTGGGGGACTGACGGTGATGTAAGTGCCAGATGACCAGGGGCTCTGGGAGGGAGAAGGGGTGAGAAGAGAGAGAAGCAGCAGGAATGAGGCCGAGCACAGTGAGGAAGGGGCGGCGCTACCTCACTGGCACGTTTTGTTTTTGCAGTTCCTGAATTAAAAGTGGTTTCTGTTGTCATTTCCTTGCTGTTCTCAAACCTCCCTGAATTTTCATCTATGCGGCCTGCACGATGCTGGTTCTGAGTGCTGGAGATTTCCCCCGTGGCGGAGTTTGCTCAGTGGTGAGCAAGGTCCTGTGCTTAAAATGAGCATCTGTTCACCCAGTTTCTGGGCTGCTTGACTGTGAGCCCCGACTACCTCCCTTAATCCCCTCATGCAGAGATTCTGGGTTGCACATTGTGGAACGTTGCAGATCAAGAACTCCACCTGAATTTCTTGTCCCATCCTTTTACTTGCAGCTTTCACATACCCTGGACTTGAAGTCTTTTAACCAGTATAGAGGTAGATATTTAAAAAAAAAAAAAAATGTTGCAACTATTACAATTATTTCATGTATGCTTTTTTGGGTGCATAATATTTGGGATTCTACCCTCTTATTTTGCATTACCTATCCTGCTTTTTCTAACCTTCCTCTTTTGCATTTATTTTGTGGTACCTGTTTTTTTTTCTGGGTTCCCCTCTATGCCCCAACAGCATTAACAGAAGTACTTACTATAGACTAACAGTAACCCCCACCCTCCTGTCAAGTGTAGAGGCCCCAACCCCATTTTGATATTTACTACGTCAGGTCTTTCTTTAAATTTTAAATCTCAAATTAGGCATTTAAAAGTTTTCACCCAGGTATGTGTCATTTCATCTGCTGATCTACCTCTTGGAATAGCATTCCTGTTTTCTGAAGAATACCCATGGAGATCTGTGGATGGTACATTTTCATAGGTTTCATTCTTGTAGGCATCCTGTCTCTGGAGTAATTGTTTTTATTTAAAGATTTTATTTATTTATTTATTTACTTTTAAATTTTTTTAAATGTTTTATTTATTTCTAAGAGAGAGAGAGAGACAGCGTGAGCAGGGGAGGGTCAGAGAAAGAGGGAGTCACAGACTGAAACAAGCTCCAGGCTCTGAGCTGGCAGTCAGCACAGAGCCCGACGCGGGGCTCGAACCCACGAACCGCGAGATCATGACCCAAGCGAAAGTCGGATGCTTAACCGACTAAGCCACCCAGGCGCCCCATATTTTATTTATTTTTTAAGGTAAACTCTGTATTCAATGTGGGACTCGAACTCACAACCCTGAGATCAAGAGTCTCGTGCCCGGCTGGCTGAGCCAGCCAGGTGTTCTTGCGCAAACGCTGTCAAAACTGTGTATGAAGGGGGGCGCCTGGGGGCTCAATTAAGAGTTAAGCGCCCAACTCTTGATGTCAGTTCATGTCATCACCTCACGGTTCGTGGGATCGAGCCCCATGTTGGGCTCTGCGCTGACAGGGAGGAGCCTGCTTGGGATGCTCCCTCTCCCCCTGCCGCTCCCCCACTCATGGGCATGCGTGCTCACTCTCTCTTTCAAAAAAAAAAAAATTGTGCAGGAAATTCCCAGTTGCTAATTACTTCTTTTCTAGCACCTGACATGCTAATTTCCTCCGCGGCCATCCAGCGTCCCTTGCCGCTGTTAGTGTCACAGTTCATTGGCCACCTTTTCTGTGGCTGTTTTATATTTTTCACGGTGATGTGCGTGGGGCATGGGTGTCTTTTTATTCTTTCTCTTTATGATTCACGTCTTTACATCCGGAAAATGCTCCATGTTGCATCTTCTCATACGGTCTCTGTTCTCCTATGAGAACTCAGCTAGACCAGGTGATTCTCAGAATTCTAGCTGTCATATTTTCCAACTGTTTTTGCTGTCTTCTGGGCCATTTCTTTGCAGCTTTCAAGCGACTGATCCTCTCTTCAGCTGTATCTAATTGCATGAGTCTTAACATCCACAGAGGTTGAGCAGTGGTCCCCAAAAAGGTATGAGGTCCACATCCTAATCTCTGGCACCTGTGGATGTGACTTTATTTGGAAAAGAAGGTCTCTGCAAATGGAAGTGAAGGGATCTGGGATGACCTCATCCTGGCTTTAGGGTGGGCCCTAAATCTCAGGACAAGTGTCCTTATAAGACAGAAGAGCCAGAGAGGACAAGGTCATGTGAAGATAGAATATGGAGACTGGGCTGATACAGAGAAACACCTGGAGCCCCCAGAAGCTGGAAGAGACAAGGAAGGATCCTCTGCTGGACACTTCAGAGGGAGCACGGCCCTGCTGAGTCTTAGACTTCTGGTCTCCAGAACTGCGAGGGATAAATTTCTGTTGTTTTAAAGCTCCCCCACTACGTGCGGTACTTCGATACGACAGCCCTGGCAATGTCATAGGACATCCAGTGTCATTTTTGACGGTCTTTCATGCCTTTTGTGTTTTTTTAAATAAGACTTTTATTTTAGGACAATCGTAGAACTGGCGGAGGTGTCGCGGAGACAGTACAGGGAGCTCTGGCGGAGCCCTCCCCCAGCCTCCCTGAATGTTACCATCTTACACGTCCACGGCGTATTTGTCACAGCTGGGAAACCAAGGCTGGGGCAGTGCTGTGAACTTAGTGTAGACCTTATTTGGATTTTGCCAGTTTTTCCAGAGGTGTCCTTTTCCTGGTCCATGATCCCATACATTCAGTCACCATGTCTTCTTAGTCTCCTCCGATCTGGGACAGTTCCTCAGCCTCCCTGTTTTCCATGAGCTGAGCTGATGGTTTGGAGGTGTCCTGACCACTTTTCTATAGCACGTTCCACATGCTCCTTGCTTTTCATCCCATCTCGTTTGATACCCAACTGCACTAACTCTAGCCAACCTCGGGGAATTTCGTTCTGCTGGCGATGCCTGTGGGTCGATCGCATGCCCTGCCACCTCTATGCGGGGTCTGTACTTTCGTCCTACTGGAAATGCTGGCCAGATGCCAGCTCCCCAACCTGCATTCTGGCTGGGCGTTCTCGGGGCAGACAGACGAGGGAGCAGCACTGAACGGGGCTGGGTGGTCCGGCCTGCTCTTTGCCTTGGGCTCTGCATTACGAGGGCATCTCCACCAGGGGTTCATTACTTTCCAGCAGGAAGAACCTTCAGATTTTTAGTTTTGGCCAAGCAGATGCTCCCCTCGCCCATCCCCGGAGTTCTCTTTAGCCGTTGCTTTTTCTGGAAGCCTCTGAGGGTCTGGCAGACCTTTCAGTGAGACCTCACTGATGTCTTCATGGAATTCCCAACTCATGTTCTCTGGACATTGGACGGTCTGACATCCCCCAAACTAGACTCCTAATCCCCCCTCTGCCAGTACGCACAGCCCTGCCCCACCTTCCGTCTCGGTAAATGGTGGCTGGAGCCAGAAATCTTGGATTGTCTTTGTTTCTTTTTATTTGTTTCACCTAAAACAGCAACAGTCGGGATGTGACCACACTCCTCCTCCTGGCTATGGCCCCTGTGCCCACGTGGCCCGATGACAGTGATGGCCCCGTGGTGATCCGTCACCTTGGCCAGCATGCCCACACGGGCCAGCTGGGGAGACCGCACCTGCCGCCCAGCCTCTCCTGTCCGCTCCCTCCCTGCCCTGGGGGCCGGCATTTTAGCCTCCGCACCGCCCCCCCCTTGTGGTCTCATACCTGAGGGTGCAAAGTGCCTTTATCTATGTGAGCGGCCCTCTGACCCAGCTCTCCGCGCTGGTCGGGCTCCCGTCCCCTGCCCCCTTCCCACGTGTTCCAAGGAGACTTTTTTAAGCCTCAGCCTCTCTCATCCTCCTCACTGCCCGTTGGACCTACCTCATCGGGCCTGAGCGCACCGCTTCCCTGAAACCGCCTTTCCCAGGCTGTCCCCTGATGGCTCCAGAAGCCAAACCACAGGGGCCACTGGCCCGGTGCCTTGTGAGTCGTCAGGGGCCTCCCCCCGCGCTGCCGCTGCGGCGCTGCTCGTGTTGTCTCTGGGGCGCTGTACACCCCAGGCCCACGCCTGCCTCCATGCACTCCCGGGGCCCCTCCAGGCTGGCGGCTTTGAGTACCATCTGGCTCACAACACGGGCTGGTGGGTCCTGGGGGTCCTACCTCCATGACGCTTGATGAGGCCCCCTTTCTCCCCCTCCCCTCGGACGCCCACGTGGGCTAGACTGGGTCTGAGCCCCCAGTCGTACCGCCTGCTGGGCTGACCACTGGGCTGCCCTGCTGGACCTCAAGGCCGGGAAGAGTCAACGAGGACAGAGCAGGGGCTCTCTGGGCCCCCACGGCACCCCTCACCCCCACTCCTGCTGCCACCTGCTGAGGGTGGACTCTGGCTGGGCCACTGGACGAGCGCCTCGGCTTGGCCTCACCCTCCTACCACCCAGATCCTGATTCCTGCCCGTCACCCGTCTGCCCCACCCCCACACCTCTCTACCCACTTCCTGTCTGTCCTTCCAGCACCTGGCTCTGCGGCTACATCTTCCATGCCTTTATTACAGTCTCTTTTGGATGCAGGCTCCGGGGGACAGCGTCCGTGGCCGGGCGACATCATCCGCTGCCTTGTCTCCGGAGCCAGCCCAGAGAGTGTGTGGCCGGACAGACGGACAGACGTGGCTAAAGGAATGACCCGGGGCGGCGGCCCCTCCGCACTCACTCAGCTTTGCTGGGCTTGGGGCCCTGGGCCTCTGGCGCGTCGTATTCCCGAACGTCCTTCAGTTCGCGTACCTGGCCGGTCAGCACCTTGGCAGCGAAGGCCACGATGTACTGTGGGAGGGGAGGCACCGGTGAGGAAAAGCCGCCGGCCTGACCCCGCCGCCCTCCGAGGGGCCGTGCGCTCCAGCCACCAGCCCCCCCCCCCCCTGCCCTGGGTGCACCCAGGGGGCGCCTGTGCCCGGACCGCCGCGTGGGGACGGGGACCGGGACAGGACCGCGGCTGAGGGAGAGCGGGCGGGCCGGGGGCCGGGGGCTCCGACTCACCAGGAACCAGTAGAGGTTCATGAGGGTGAGCAACAGAAGGAGCGCATTGAAGAAGAAGTAGAAGGGGATGTCGGGCACCGCGCGCAGGCTGCAGTGGCACGTGGCGTACAGGACCTTGAGCGGGAACCAGTAGAGGCGGAACCAGAACCTGCGCAGGAGGGGTGGGTGGGGGAAGCCGTCGGGAGAGGGGGCAGGGGGAGGGCTGTCCCACCTGGACTCACCCATCTGTCCCTGCACATCCCTGCCCACCCCCCACCCCCCCACCTCCTCGCCCTCCCCTCCAGGTCTCCTCGCCACCCCTGCCCATCTGGTCTCCTTCCTGCCCAGCTCTGATTCTGCCCTGCTTCCGTCCCCCTCAGGCTCTCCTGTCCTGGGTGCCCTGCCTGCCCCACCAACCTCACCTCCTGGCGTGGCCTCACCCCTTCCCACAAAAGCCCCACCTCCTCCCCTGCCTGGCCCCGCCCCTTATCGCCGGGCCCACCTCCTCCCCTGCCTGGCCCCGCCCCTTACCACAGCTCCCGCCTCCTTCCCCGCCCCCCTCACCAGCTGAGGCAGAAGCTGAGGCAGCCCAGGTCGGAGGCCAGCGCGTGGAGCCTGTGGTGGGCGCCTCCGCGAGACTTGAAGTAGACATTGAGCTTGGTAAATTCCAGCTGCACGTCGCTGACGTCATGCAGGAAGAGCACGAGGATGCCCACATTGTGGTACCTGGGGAGGGAAGCGGGATGGGAGAGGTCGCTGCAGCAAGGCGGCACCCCAGGCTTCCCGTGGGCCCCTTCAGAGCTGGCCCCCCTGGCCTCCGTGACCTGCCCCTTCCTGCCGCTGGCCAGGTCAGTGGCAGCACCCAAGCTGGACCTGCCCCCACTGGCACCCTCCCTGGAAGTTCTTTGCACCCTCCCCAGCTCTGGGACCCCTGACCCTCCGTGACCTGGACCATTTTGTAACCAGATCCCCCACAAGTTTGTCCCTCACCTTGCACATCACTGCCACGCTAACACTCCTAGGTCTGTTTAACCTGAACATTGCTGCAAGCTGTAGACTTGCCCAGGAAAGCCCAAGTCCCCACTAGGCTCTAAAGCCTGAAGGCGGTCCCTCTATCCCTCCCCAGCATTCCAACTTATAGCTGCTTGGGCCTGGGCCTGAATTCAGCCTGGCGTGGCTGGGCTCTCTCACTCTGCCTTCTTGACAGCTCGTGTGCCACGGGCCCTTTGCACATGCTGTCCCCATCACCTAACATGTTCCTCCCCAGTATTCGCGGAGCCTTCCTTCACCTCCTTTCAGTCTTGGCCCACCTGTCGCCCAGACACCCATCCGCACCTCACCACCCCGGCGGCCCTGATCTCCGGACTTGATTTTTCTTCACAGGTATTGCTTTCAAACAAACTCTTAATTCTTTTCTCATTTGTTTGTTTGGGTTGTATCATCTGATTCTACTCTAGAGCAGTGCTAGCTAATAGAATTTCCTAGAATGGTGGAAATGTGCTAAATCTGCTTTGTCTAATATGAGAGCCATCAGCCACATGTGACCATTGAGCAGCGGAAATGTGGCTGCTGTGGCTGAAGAAGAGAATATACAACTTTGTTTCAGTGTAGTTAAACTTGCAACAGGCCCCTGCGGCCGTGTAGCTAGATCGCCTAGTCCAGTAGGAACAGAGCTTGAACCGTCTGTTATTTGAGATTCTCTATCAGCCACATTAAAAAAAGAAAAAACCACCACAGACCAGTAAAGAAAAGATCTGGATTTCACACATACGCACGTCGAGGTGCCGACTGGCTACATGTGAAGCGCTCCGGGGCCGCAGGTGCTGGCCGCGGTGGGCTCTAGAATGCCAGAGCTGGCCTGCCCTGTTCCCAGCTGCACCTGCGCGTGGCAGCCGGTCCAGTAAACACTTGCTCTGTGACCCGGCCGAGGCCGCCATGGGGTTGGAGGGGGACGGATGGGGAGTTGAACAGAGTGGGGGGGCTCTCTGCACCTGACAGACCCCCGTCCCTCTGGAATCTCTCTCCGGACCCCACCCCCACAGGCGCTCCCCGCAGCCCGCTTCCCCTGGACGCATTAGCCTGTGCCCATGGCAGCTCCTCTCTGCGCTCATGCTCTGCCCCCTGCCTCCTGCTGCCCCTGGACTCACCGGAAGGCATAGGAGGAGACTATGAGGACCAGGGTGACCACATGGTGGACGAGCATGACCACTGAGTCCTTGCGCCAGGCGTCCATGTACAGCGTGGCATAGATGGAATGGCCGTAAAAACTTCCCTGCAGCAGGTAGGCGGCTGCGATGTCCCGTGGGACCGGCATGCCCGACGTCCAGTCTAGGGACAGCAGGACTGTGTTGGCAGGGACCCCCAAGGCCCCCAGGACCATGAAAGCTGAGATGCATCTTCCACAAGCCCGGGCCTGTCCCCCATTCCTGCAGGTGTTCTGCTAGCTGGTTTTTTGTCTTCATTCGCCACCCGTTATTTTTTTTTTTTTTAATTAAAAAAAAAATTTATTTTTAAGGTTTTATTTTTTTCTGAGAGAGAGAGAGAGAGAGAGACAGCGTGAGCAGGGGAGGGTCAGAGAGAGAGGGAGACACAGAATCTGAAACAGGCTCCAGGCTCTGAGCTGTCAGCACAGAGCCCAACGTGGGGCTCGAACCCACGAACCGTGAGATCATGACCTGAGCTAAAGTCAGACACTTAACCGACTGAGCCACCCAAGCGCCCCGCCACCCGTTATTTTTTATGAACAGCTGTTAGTTTTTGGAACAGCTCTCGATTTATAGAAGAAGGTGCTCCTACCCCTGAAATCTGTCCCTTGCAGGATTTCCAACTCTGGCCTGGCCCCCTTCCTGTCTTCTTCCCTAAATCATCAGGCTCTCCCGAGCCAGCCCCGATGCCCTGTCCCGGGCTCTCCAATCCCAGCCAGTCCCCAGCTCGATGGAGGCTGCCACCCACCTCACCAGGCTATGGGCGGAGCAGCTGAGGCAGAAGTCAGACCAGCCAGCGCCACGGGGTAGGCACTGCCCCACCATGTGGGCTGTGGCTCCCCTTCACCGACTCCTGCAGCCACCCCACTCCTCCTGGCACTTGTGCTCCATATTCAGGCTTCAGGCCCCCGGTGACAGCGACCCCAGCTCTCCTGTCACCTCTGCTTCCTCACCGAGAGGGCTCTGCCTGTGCTGACCTGGACTTCTCTGGACCGTGCCTTGTTCTCTGGCCACCCTCCCCAAAATGGCCTCCCTGGGCCCCATCCAGGGCCTCCTGGCCCCCAGCCTCAGAGACCTGGAACCAGACCCACACGTTCCCCGGAAGCCCGGCTGTCCCCTAAAAATCCCCAGTGCCCTCGCCTCAGTTCTTCATCTGTGCCTTGACCTCTTCCACACCCAGGATCTACCTGGACCCTCACCCAGGGGCCCCTTCCGTCCACACCTCTGCTCACTTCCGCTGCCCTCGCCACCCTGACCCTGGTCCAGATGCTGCTGCCTCCCACCCAGCTCCGCCCCAGCCCCTCCTGACCTTCTAGAGCCTGTTCCCAACTGTCCACTCCCCGCTGTGGCCTCAATGGCTGTGATCCAGCAAGTCCACTCCTGGTAGGTGCTCAAGGGAACCAAAACCAGGCCCCCTTGTACACACACAGCACCGTTCACAGTCCCCAAAAGGTGGAAGCAACCCACGTGTCCATCAGCTAGTGAGCGGGCGAGCAAAACATGGTCAGGCCACACGATGGAACAGTACTCAGCCATAGGAAGGAGCGATGCACTGGCACACACGGCAGCGTGGATGAACCTCAAAACCAAGAGGCTGAGTGACAGAAGCCAGACACAAATGGGCACACAGTGCATAATCCCACATGTGTGAAACGTCCAGAACGGGAGAGTCCATAGACAGAAAGCAGATTAGGGGATGTCAGGGGGAGGAGGTGATGCTCATGGGGACAGGTCTCCTTTTGGGGTGATGGAAAAATGGTCTGGAACCAGACAGAGGTGATGGTGGCACAAGACTGTGAGTGCACTAAATGCCTCTGAACTGTTCGTTTTAAAATGGTGAATTTGGGGGCATCTGGGTGGTTCAGTTGGTTAGGAGTCCGCTTCGGCTCAGGTCATGATCCCATGGCTTGTGAGTTCGAGCCCCGTGTCGGGCTCTGTGCTGACAGCTGAGAGCTTGGAGCCTGCTTGAGATTCTGTGTCCCTCTCTCTCTCTGCCCCTCCCCTGCTCACACTCTGTCTCTCTCTAAGAATTAATTTAAAAAATAAAATGGTGAATTTGTAAATGTTATTTATTTTTTTAATGTTTATTTATTTTTGAGAGTGAGAGAGAGAACACGCATGCACACGCAAGCAGGGGAGAGGTAGGGAGAGGGGGGCAGAGGATCCGAAGCAGGCTCAGTACTGACAAGCACAGTGCTGTCACGACACCCACGAACTGTGAGATCATGACCTGCGCTGAAGTCAGAAGCTTACCTAACTGAGCCACCCAGGTGTCCCCAAATGGTGGATTTTTTAAAACTATGATAAAACACATGCAGCATAAGCGTTGCCAGCTGAGGCATTTTTAAGTTCGGGAGTATTAGTACGTTCACACTGCTGTGTGTGAGCTCCTTTCATGTGGTAAAACTGAACCCGTGTCCCCACTAAACACCCGCTCCCCATCCCCTCCCCCAGCCCTGGCGCCCACGGGTCCGCTTCTGGTCTCTGAATCTGGCCACTCCAGGGACCCCGTATAAGCAGACTCATGCATTACTTGTGACTGGTGAATTGTGGTTGATTTTATGTCATGTATATTTTACCTAATAACAAAAAATTGCAGCCACCATCCCACTGCTTTGCCAGGTCCAGGGCCTCCCCAAAGCTTGACAGCAAAACCCACACTTGCGGCAGGGCCCTCCCTCCAAGCTCTGTCCTCACCACGTGGGAATGCTGCAGGCGGTGGAGGGTCCCTCCCCCCCCCCCCCCCCCCCCCACAGCCACCGGGTGCTTCTGTCCCTCTTTAGGAGGAAGGGAGGTCAGGGTGTCTGGGTGGCTCAGTCAGTTAAGCATCTGACTCTTGATTTCAGNCCCCCCCCCCCAGGACACACACAGCCACCGGGTGCTTCTGTCCCTCTTTAGGAGGAAGGGAGGTCAGGGTGTCTGGGTGGCTCAGTCAGTTAAGCATCTGACTCTTGATTTCAGGTCAGGTCATGATCTCAAGGTTCATGAGATCGAGCCCCACACCGGGCTTTGTGCTTGACAGCATGGAGCCTGCTTGGGATTCTCTCTCCTTCTCTCTCTCTCTGCCCCTAACCCCTGCTCATGCTCTCCTTCTCTGTCTCTCAAAATAAATAAACATTTAAAAAAAGAAGAAGAAGGAAGGTGGAGGCACCCATCACACTGGCAGGACTTTTACCCCGGGCGAGCGTCCCCCTCCGGCCTCCAGCCCCCGATCTGAGGCAGGGCAGGGAGAGGGGGGCACACATACGACTCATCATCCAGACTCTGTCTGCACCTCTGCGCCCTCGGGGGCCGGGCTCCGTTCACGGACCGCCAGCCTGCCCTCCACACTCACATCCACTGGCTGCTCTGGGCCCTCTGTGTCACCCCCACCACATCGCCCGTTTTGGCCCCTGGGACCAGCGCCTGGGTGTCCCAAACCCAGCTCCTGCTCTCCCTGAATCGCCCCCACCCCCCACATCCAGCCCCCGGAATCCTCCCCCGCCCTCCTTTCCCGCCCCAGCCTCTAGCTTGGCAAAGTCCTACCAGTTCCGCGTTCAAAACGTTTCTCGAGCCAGCCAGTTCTCTCTCACTCTGGGCAGAGCCCCTGTGAGAGAATGAGCTCCTGCCCTCATTCCCCTGATCATTTGAGCCTGTCAACAACCCCCTCTGCTCCCTAGGAAACACCCCGTCTTAGGGGGCTCCTTGCTGCCTCTGATCTGCCGGGAGTGTGCCCCTCCCACGGTGGCCGGTGCATTTCTGATCTGCTCTAGGCACCTCCAGGTCCCCATTCAAAAGTCCTTTCTCCGAAAAACAAAACAAAACAAAACAAAAAGTCCTTTCTGGTGGGGCCGTCTTCGGCACTGTAGAAATCCTCCCTCCCCTCTTCCCCCTCAAGTTTTCTTATCCGGCTGTTCACAGATTTCGCATTTCACTCGCAATTTCATTGAGCTCTCGTGCTCACAGCCATGTCAGCACAGTGCCTGGTCCACAGCAGGCGCCCACTAAATGCACATGCAAATAAGCAGTTAACCTGCAAGCAGGTGATCACAGCGTAACTTATAAGAAAAAGCCAGAGGCAACTCCATGCCTGAAACAGACAGTTCCACTGTGGCTCATTAACATAACGGAAAACTAGATGACAGCTAAACCCTGCCATCCAGGGATTTATGAGAATGGCCATGCGGGTGACAGGGCCCCACCAAGACAGGCAGGTGCCCAGCAAACTCAGTGCTTGTCACCAGGACACCGAAACACAGCAGCTCTGTGCCCAGCCCTCTGATGGAAGCCGGGGCTTGGTGCCTCCAGGAGCCTTCTGAAACTGTTTATGTCACATGGCAGGACACATGCCCATGTGTGTCCCTGGCACACAGCCTGGGTGGTCAGCACAGGAACAGAGAGACCCTGACACCCCCATCACAGATCAGGTTTTCTGTAACAGCCTGCCTACTGGCAATAAAGGACACTGCAGTCACCTTCCTGCCTATTCCACCAAGCTCAGGCCTTGACAACCCTCGTATCTAATCCAATCAATGGATGCAGCCATTTCTCACTGTCTTTATCTCTTTGGCAAGCAGGTCAAAGCCACATTAAGTCCCTCACCTCCCCACTGGGTCACTTTCTTCCTTTTCCAAGACTCTCCTGCCTCCACATTGCAGCCAGAAGCTTTTTATGATTCACACACCCATCTCATTTAGGATGAAACTCAGACTCCTCCTATGCTCCTCTCGTCCTCATGCACCAAGAACATGCATGCCCCAGGACCTTTGCACATGCTATTCCAGGCATCTGGAATGCCCACCTGGGCCCACGCAAGGGGTCACCTCATTCATGGCACCTCCCTGAGCCCTAATAGGACCAGTTTCGAAAGACATTTTCCTGTCTCCAAAGCCCTTTGATCACCCTTATCTTGAGGCTACCTTGGGCCTTGTTTGGGGGCAGACATCTAGCACAAGACAAGATGAGTGTCCGGCTCCCCTATGTACCCTTCCCCATGTGCCGAGCAGAACCCTCCCCCACCCTGCTCTGTCTGGCAAGGCCCCTACCGTAGAACACAGAGGGTGGGTCGTGAAAGAAGGGGTAGTCGGTGCCGAAGAGCAGGTAGGCGCTGTAGCTCCAGGCGCCCAGGTAGAAGAGAAACTTCCAGGCACTCTCAGGCATCTTGGCGGCATCTCTAGGCTGGAGGCGACACCGCTTGGCCAGGGGCTACAGGTGAGAAGGTGGGTGGCCATCAGCGCTGGGGGCCCAGGGCCAGGAAGCCCAGGCTCAGGGGTTCTCCAGGCTGCGCGGGGTTGGGGAGGGCTGGGCCCGGTACCCACAGCCGCCTGGAGCGTAACCAGAGCCCACGTGCGCCAGCCAAGGGCTAAACTTAGTGCTCAGCTGTCCAGTGCAGGGTGGGGAGGGGGGTGAGGAAAGACCTAAGAGAAAGCCCTGATGGCAAGGAGGGGGACATGTGAGTGTAAGGTAAGGGAGACCAGTGGGGTCAACCCAGGGGAGTTGGGGGTCACAGAGGACGCTGGGGATAGAACAGGGAGGAGGCGGATAAAGAGAAGATACGGAGTGGGCTGTGGGGATAAACCTGTGGAGAGAGCCTGGAGGTGAGTATAGGGGGCTCTGGGAGAACAGAGAGCCCCTACGGGAGGTATCTCGGGGCCAGAATTTGGGGGCAGACTAGAGAGAAACAGGGGCTGGGGAAGATGGGGTGGGTAGGTGGGGGGAGAGCATGAGAATGTGGGGGGACAAAGGAGGGGAGAATGGGGCAGAGGGAGAACGGGGAGGGCAGGGAAAGGATGTTCAGTGAGATGGTAGACATGAGCTGAGCCACAGGGACCACAAGGCAACACCAGGGAGGACTCGAAGGAACAGGGATCACGCAATGGTGAGGCACGGAGGAATGGGGGGTGGGGACAGCTCCCTGGGAGTCCAGGAGCCTGGGCCTCAAGCTCCCTGTGGGCGGGGCTCCAGAGCTGCTGGGTCAAGCCCACCCCCTTCCCTCCAGGAGAGGCTTGAGGGGGCCAGAGCACCAACAGTTGCCATGGAGACAGCCAGAGCCAGTTCCAGTAACCCCTGGCAACCAGGCGGCTGCCAAGAAGATGAGCTTTGGAGGAAAGGGCAGCCCCTCCACCCATTTCTTGGGAAAGGCGAGCCTGGAATCGCTCTCGTCCCACCCGGGCTGACCCAAGCTCCGGGGATTCCAGAAGGGAGGGTGTACACGATCTTGCCACCAGGCCCCTCTGCCAGCCTCCTCCTCAGGGAGGGAGCCCGCTCCACACTGGTTGTCCCAGAGCAACCACATCCCCCGCCTGGGCTCTGACCCTCAACCTCCTGGATCTCCCGCTTCCCAGCTGGAAACTGGGAAAGTAGGGGGAGCAACAAAGCCAGATACGGACCAAGGCCGACCTGTGGAGGGACACTTGTGCCTGCTTCCCCCTCCCTGGAGCAGGGGGTCTGCTTCCAGACTCTTTCCCATGTGGGGGATACGGGGATGGTGGTGGGGACAGTGGCAGCCAAACAACACCCTATCCTTGACTTAACAAGAGCCAGTCTCTTCCCAGCCAGCAGAGAAAGGCCCCTTTGTTGGCGCCGAGCACTCTGTCCCTGCACCCCCTGCCACCTCCAGCCAGATTGGGGCGGGGTGACCCCAGTCAGTCCACGGCGGAGTCGCAGCCAAGCTAGGGGCCTAAACGCCTTCCTACCAGCTCTCCTAGCAGCGACCCCTCCCTAAGGATGGGAGGGAGGCCAGGCGCCAATGTCACCCACAGGGTCACTCTCCAACTGGGGCGGTAGCCTTCACAGACTCGGTAGAAACTGGGCAATTCCCCCCCTTGGAGGCAGCCCAGTCCAGCCCTGGAGACCCAGGCCGCGCCACCGGCCAAGACTGCGACCACCAGCGTGGTCCGGGAGCCCAGGCCTTTGCCTCCCCAGGTCGGAGGGTGGCGCTGACTCCAGACATGCGCGAGGCAGCGACCGGGAAGCTCTGGCCTCTTCCCGGTAGCAGCGGACAAGCCGGCTCCGCCGCCGCCCCGGCTCCGCCGCCGCAAGGACCTCGGGCCCCGCTCGCTCAGGTTCCCAGCGCTCCCCGCATGTCCCCAAGACGCAAGGCGCAGGCGGCTTGTGAGCACCAAGCCCACCCCGCCCGCGTCCTCCGTTCCTCCATCCCCGGTTCGGTCCTGCCTAAAACGGCGTGCGGCGGCCACTGCCCGGGGACCCCTTGCCGCGCACTGAAGGGTCTAACTCGGCCCTGGTTCCCCCACATCTCGAACACCCCATCCGTGTGGGGGCCCCCACGTCCCGGGGTTCCTCCAGCTCGGCCACACCCCCGCATCCACCCCACCCCCACCTCTCTCAGCCCTGAAGGGGACAGCTCCTCCAGCCGGAGGGCCCCCCACGTTCCAGTGACCCGGCCCGTAGAGGCAGAAAGGGGCACGCGAGGGCCCGGGGTCCGTGTCCCGGGTCCCCTATCACAGCCCGCCCCCCACCCCGCGGCCCCACGTCCCTTCCCTCGGTGTCACTGACCCGAAAGAGGCGCGCGGTGGCCGCCGAGCGCAGCGCCGTCCAGCCGAGCGCGCCGAGCGCCAGCAGCAGCAGCTCAGGCGGCGCCAGGTGCGCGTGCTCGGCCAGGCCGCGGCGCGCCAGCCCCCAGCCGCAGTCCGCGCAGCCCCGCGCCGCCGCCAGCGCGCTGCCCCAGCCGCGCTGCACCAGCTGCGCGTAGCTCGGCATGGGCTCGGGCCCCGCCGTCCCCGCCGTCCCCGCCGTCGCCATACCGCCCGCTCGCTGGCCGCCGCTGCCGCTTGCGCCCGCCCGCGTTGGCCGCCGGAGCCGCGCGCCCGCGTCACGCGCCGCAGCTGGGCCGGGGGCGCGCCGGCCTGAGCGCCGGGGACTGGGGGGGCGGGGCCGGCACAAGCTCCGCCCCGATGGGGGCGCGGGCGGCGAGGGCTTGGTCTTCCTTGCGGCGTCAGAGACCCTGAGGGCGCAAGGGTGCTCGGTCTCCCGGAGGCGGCGTATCAGACCCCGCGTTGACGCGATGCGTCCTTGGAGACGGGCCCGCGCTCCTGCCCATTTTCCAGTGGAGGAAAGCGAGGCGTGGAGCAGCAGGGGACGAAGCCTGACTGGCACCTGCCAGGCCTGGACCCGGTCCCCGCTCCGTGGTACCTATGCCCACCCTGGGCTCCCCCACACCACCACTCAGTGTCCAAGATGTGGGGCACGGTGACCACCCGCCCTTCGCCCATAATTCTCCTTCCAGGGCCCTCCAGCAGGCTTCTCCCGTCCGGTCCCTCCCTCAGACTTGACCATTCCTGGCCTCAGGGCCACCTGCTGCTATCCATGACCCTGAGGACAGGCCTGCAGGGGAGGCAGAGGGAGTGGGCACTCACGTGCTGGGACTCGGAGGCTGGATCAAGACCACTGGTTCCATTGGGAACACCCCTGGTGATGCTCCATTGATCAGAAGCCCCCAATGGCCATGACCAAGAACACCGGTCACCTGTTGGCGATTTCACCTTCCCTGACACGGACAGCCCTCCAGAACTCCCACATTCTTGTGTTTCTCTTTACCTCCCACGGTGGACCTCTTCCCAGAGCCTTTAAGATGGAGAGCGCAAGGATCAGTGTGGGCCCGCAAAGGCCTGACCTGACCTTGGAGTGCATGGGCGAAACTAGGGAGGAGGGCTAAAGAGGCCCACATCTCTCCTCCTCAACCTTCGTCCAGCTGGGCAACACATTCAGGTGGCCCTACCTCTGAAAGTACGAATTTGGCCACCTCTCTGCACATGCACAGCCTCCTGTGGCCCTGCGCCCCCCTAGTATCTCCTATTTGGTATCCTGGCTTCCTCCTATCCCACACAGAGGCCAGGAGCCACCCACCGGCTGTCCTTCTTCTGCTCACAGCCCTCCATGGCCTCCATCATGCAGGTAAAAGGCCAACTCCTCACTGGGACTCACAACTTACACTCATGCTCTCCTCTCCATCTTGCTCCCCATTTGCTACTCTGGCCACCTCACTGTTCCTCTAGGACCCCCTGCACACTCCTGCCTCAGGGCCTTTGCACTGGCTGTTCCCTCTGCCTAGAATGCTATTCCCCCTGGTGCTAGCAGGGACCCTCCCTTTCTTCAGACTTTACCTACAAATGTCACCTGCTCAGTGCACCCCTGACTTTCCCATCAGTCTTCTTGGCAGGCTGCTTCACTGTGCCTGCTACTCGTTATTCCTGACCATGCACTCTGTGTGGGCAGGGGTCCATCCAGCCCATCAGACCAGGAAGACAGGCCCAGCCTGTGGGAGGTGTGAGGCCTGCCTGGCCTGGTCAAGCATGATGGCCCAGCTGGAGGCCAGAGACATGATCAACGCTGCGGCTCACCTAACAGCAGAGGAGGACCCAGGGATGCTCAACTAGCCTGTCCCCAGAGGCCTCCGTAGGCTGTGCTGCAGCCCTGGACGTCCCAACTCCCCCGCCCTCCCACCCCGCACTATCTGGTCACCATGGCAGCCATCAGTAATGGGAGAGCGCCCCCGCTCACCAGCCCAGTCCCAGATGTGTAGAGTTTCATCTTGGCGGGACCAGCTGGAAGGCCACCAGCGGGTGGGTGCAGGGCAGAAGTGAAAAGTGGCTCCTGGCGCTGGCAGCTGAGACCTGACAAGGGGCTGCTAAGGGTTCCCTTCCCTGTTCCACCTGAGGGCAGGCCTCTTCTCTCCCGGGGAGCTCATTCCCAGGCCATCTCTCCCCACCCCTGACAGCCACCTCTGCCCAGGGAGACTCCTTTCACCTCCCTCCCCTGCTGAGCTCCTCACCAGGCAGGGAGGGGACAAGGGGGGGCCCTGCTGCTGGGGTTCCCAAGCTCTATGTCCCATGCTGGCAACCAAGCACCACGGCTAAGGTGGATGAGGCCAGACTCTGGCAACCCAGGTACCTTACCTTCTTCCTGGAGAGGCCCAGACACTGGCCTAGGGACAAAGGGCACAGAGCCCCGTCCAGCTCACAGAGCCCAGTGCGGCCTCCAGGACTTTGCACGGACTGTTCATGCGGCCTTGAATGAATGCTGGTCCCCCCGGAACCTGGCCTGGCAGCTCCTTCCAGCTGTTCGGGTGGATACAGCTCAATGGTGACCTCATCTAAGAGACCCAGCCAACACCCCTCCCCTGCATGCCTGCCTCCCCCTCTGGATAAGGGATGCCAGCTAACACCCTGACTTTCTCGTACGGAAGGTTGCTCCCCATCAATTTCTCTCTCCAGGTGGAGAGCTTAGTGCCTCAGTCACTGTGCACTCCCACACCCGCAGCCCCAACAGCAGCGGGTCTCCCAGACCAACCGGCTGGACTCCCCCCCAGGGCAGCAGATGGTCCGGTGGCTTGTGGGGGGGTGGCATATGCTCCCTGCACACACCCTCCCCATGTGGCGGAACCGAGGCCTGGACTCTCCCTACCTCCCTCACCACCTACAGACCACCCTGGGATACCGGTTTTGAGTCCTGATGCCCCTCGTAATGGCTGTGACCACCCTGTACCTCAGTTTCCCTAGATGCCAATGGAGCTTGGGAGACACGGCTGTGCCACCTGTAGGGTGGCTGTTCAAGGGGCAAGGGTCCATGCACCTGCTGCTCACAGACCCTGGTCTCCAGGGCTCCCCTCCCGGGAGTAGCCTTGGGTGACAGTGCCCAGGACCGTCCCTTTTGTCCCATTCCCACCGGTCCCTCCCAAAGTGGCCAAAACAAACATAGATGGTGGGGGGAGGATACCTGTGGTGGAGACATTTATTGACAAAATGGGGCCGGGCTAGGCTCGCGCCTCCGCCTCTGGCCAGAACAAGCGAGAGGGCACGAGGAAGGGTGCCCAGCAGTGCGGGCAGAACACCTGGCCTCGCGGGGCAACGGCCCGGGAAACGCATCTGGGGCCAGCCTCAGGCGCTGGGAGCGTACTGCAGCACCAGCCGGTCAAAGTCATTCTCCTTCGGCGTGGATTGTGGACGACGGGCACAGAGAGAGAAGCAGAGAGAACGTGAGTCGGGACTCCAGTCACAGGCCCTCCCTGGCCCAGCTCCGGGGGTCTGGGGGTATGTTACCCGGTGCCAGCGCGGGCTCACCTTGGCCTGGTACTCCTTGATGAAAGGGTGGGACCTGTGTGCGTCCTTCAGCTGGGACAGGTAGCGGTTTGTCACCTGCAGGGGAGGCAAGGCCAGGCTGGATGATTAGGGCCTCCCCGTCAGGTGGCTCTCACACGCAGGGCAAGGGAGGGGGGACCTCCCAGCTGATGCCAAGCAAGAACCCTGGTCTCCCATCGCCTCTGTCACCCCACCCTGAAATCAGGCTGACGACAGAGGACCCTCAGTGGCAGAGCGGAGTGTGGGGGACCGCCTGGAACGGCACCTGGCACAGAGCCCACGCTTAGCACATGGCTGGAGGATGTGCCGCAGGGTTCAGGGGTAGGGGACTGGGAGGGACCCGGGACCCATGGCCCCCAGAAGAGGGCGGAGGGCCGGGAGCAGAAGGCAGGTCAGGCGGGACAGGGTTAGGAGGGGAGGCGGGTTTGTTCCTGGCACGCTGCACAGAGAAACCCCAGCAGGCAGAGCCTCGCCCCCAGCCTCACCCAACCTTGCCAGGCCTAGCCCTGACTGCGTGGGGCGGGGGCGTCTGTCTTCCTGAGAGTAGGGGTCCACGCTGGGGTGAGTGGGACAGTCGTCCTGTCTGTGCTGCACTGCCCTACCTGGGGGCCCCTCCACAAGGGACGGGTGACTGAAAGGAAGCCCTGGGTGGGCCCATCAGTCCTCCCGCCCTCCCTGCCCTCAGACAAGGTGGGCTCACAGGGACTGCTCCCCTGGGCGCCTTTTCTCTGTTTGTTTGCCCACCCCCCACCCAGAGGTGGCATGGGTGGGGGTCCCGGCTCGGCTCACCCTCTGAGCCACAGCCTGCTGGTCTATAGGGTCCATGGGAGCAGCGGTCCTATGGCCTTGGCCAGGGTACGGCCTCAGGCTGATGGCAGGTGCACCCCCTCCAAAGGAATGGGTTCTGCCCGAGATCCACATCACAGGACCCCGCCCACCTCAGGGTCGCACCGTGTGGGCCAGAAAACCTCCCCCGCACCAGCAGGCCCTACCTCAGGGGGCTTGCCCAGGTGCTGTGACAGGACGATGAGGTTGATCAGGGTCTCCGGGTGGCCACTGTCCTGGAAACATGGGGGACACCAGGCGAGCAGGGTCAGCTCCCCAAGGCCTCCAGCTCGGCCCCAACTCAGGCAGAAGAATGCCTCCCACTGTCCCAGTGCGAAGACACAACCCACACAAGGTCACAGCCTTATAGGTGGGGCAGGCGGGGGCTGCAAGACCCAAAGTGCGCCCACCGGCCAACCTGCAAGGCAGTGACCTCGGGGACCTCCCTTCCGCCTAGGAGGCAGCGTGGTGGCAAGGGAGCCCCAGCCCCTCCCTGCCTCCCGGAAACAGCGGCTTCCCTTCTGCGCCTGCTGTCTCACCTGTACACCAGGATGGGACCGAGTGCTGGCGCTTGTGGCAGGGGTGTGTCAATCTCAAAGTGACAGAGCCCAGGCCAAGGCAGCCTCCACACCCGCACAGCCAAGCTGTCCCCCTTGCTGTAAAAATGAGGTCTGAGGCCTGGGGCAGACCCCACCTGCGCCTCCTGCTCTCCAGGGGCCTTGGCAAGAAGCTGCCGGGAAAATTACCAGTTCATCCAAGTGGCTGACCTCACCCCGCCCGCCCACGCTGGGCTCCAAGGCAGAGAGAACCCTGGGAACTGGCCCAGGACCACCTTGGCCA